ATCATCATCATCATCATCATCATCATCATCATCATCATCATCATCATCATCATCATCATCCACTGTTCCAGAGTGAATCGTTTTTGAATGAAAAAGGTACCAGGATATATACCCTCCAAAGCTTGGTTCCGATTGATGGTTGGAAGAGTTCAACCAGGAGAGGCTTCAAAACGGATTTGGAAGATTGGCATCGGAGTTATGAGTTTTGCAGGGGCCTTTTGTCCCCCAAGAAATGTTAACACTGCTTTCCAATCCCCATGGATCCACTGCCTGCCACAATTTATGTAGACGGGAGGGTCCAGTCGTGCCTGCGTCTCGAAGGTGGCAGTGGATCCTTATCGAATGGTGGAGTGAGAATAGGAGTCAACATCTGGGCCATACAAAGCAGATTTGTTGCTCTGATGATGATGTCGAGATAGGCAAAGGTTCCAGAAAGATTGCTGGCCGACCAGTTGTGTGTGAGTGGAATCTTGTGGCAGTGAGTGGAATGTGAATCCGAGGTTTGTGGCGATGTGCTTGGCTTTGCCCTGTGACAAAAGTGCGATGTCCTAGTTTTGGACGATTTGGTGGCGACAGGTGTTGTGTAACTGAGTCCAATGCTTTTGCCACTTCTCTCCAGCTCCAAGCGGCATAGATAGTAGTGATCGAATTGACACTGCAGTGTTCGTGATGCGACGAATTGGTACAACGATTCACCCCAAAAAACAATCGTTTCTGAGTACCAGCACCTTCCAACAGGTCACCGGGGTGCTGGTAGACATCATCCCGGTTTGACTGACCGGGATGTGTGCTATTCTTCGACATGGCGGACCGATTAGTAAGAGAGCCTTTCCTCTCTTTTGACCCTTCCTTAATGATTTTTGCACCGAAAGGTATCACTGAGGAGACCTAAATGTTTGATCCTGCAGATCCAATTGGCAGAACGACCACCTCTCAGCGTTAGAGAGAGAGAGAGGTGTTGGTGTTGGTGTTGTTGACGTGGTTGTTGTGGTTGTGTTTGTGTTGTTGCGGTCATGGTTGTCATTGTGGTGGTCGTTGTTCCTTGTGGTTGTTGTTGCTGTGTTTTTTTTGTTGTGATGGTGGTTCTGGTTGTGGATGTTGTTGTTGTTGTTGTCGTCCGTTCCCCCTGGGTCGGCCGCAAGGTTCCCCTGGACCCCCCTAGGGCCGTGGCAGGGGGCTGCTTTCTCCTACGGAGAGGAGAGAACCCTTGGCAGGACTCGGCCTGACAGGGCCCCTTTCATCATTTGTTGCTTGATGTGCATGTGCTCCATCTCCAACCCGATTGACTGGGTGACCAGTTGGAAGCAGCTGGATGCTGGCTTCCTACAAACATCAATCCTGCTGCTTGCCGTGTCCCAAACGTGGCCAGGCACCTGTGTTCGGAGGAAAAAAACCACCAGATCTGGACCCCACGTACGTGTCCAAAAACCTGAGTGACCTCTCGTATGGACCCGTCCACCACCCCAAATTGATGGCGTTTTCCCATCAAAGCACGGGTCATTCCAGAGGGGTGAACAACGTCACCCCAAACTGCCTGGCGCTTGCCTGGCGCGTCCCAAATTTGGAAGAATCGGGGTGGTTCTAACATGTTCTAACCACCCAGAGTCACCTGTACTTTGAAGGTGAAAGCCAGGTGAACCGGAGGGTTTTTGCACGCGGTGTATGGTGAGGATGGGCTGTTCATTGTTCCAACATGCCTCGGCCAGACATGTGGAAATCCACCAAGATGGTGGCGGAGCCGCTCTTGGACAACGCACGGATGCCGAATTCAGCGGCCAACGGGGCCCAGGGGAAAATGCTAAGGGGAGTGATGAGTTCTAAGTTGTTTGATAGTATAGGGGGGGTTCTCCCATTGTCAAGGGTAGTTTGGAGGGTCCAGGTTGATGGTAGAAATCGATGAATACTACCTGTGTAGGTTCCTGCAACATCCTCAACTGCAGAAAAACAAAGGAAAAAACCATCCTTAGCCCCATCCGGATTCGGTGATCGATTGTCCTCCAGATCCGCTGCGCGCTGTGAGTTCAGACTCCAGTTTCTTCAGCTAGAGGAAATGGACGGCTGGCGCCAATGCACCAGCAATGGTCACACCTGCCAACATTGGCTTTGGAACCACAGGTATAGATACTACTAGTTCCCTAAAAAATCCAAGGACTTGTTGAAGAATGGTCTTTAGGTGACCTGAAGAGGAACTTCTAATTCATTCGCAATGTGGCAAAATACAGCGATTGGACTTTCAGGACATGGTATACTGTAGATTACTGTATAGTATAGTTCTCACACATGTTCCTACAGGTTCCCACCAGTTGAGTTATCAGAAACTAAGACGTTCAAAGAGAGGAGAGAACCCCTCCCTTCCTCCCATCCAGGCCCTTGGGTCCCTTGCTCGGGACCGGAGCGCGAGGTGCACATGTCCCGCGATGCAGTTCAGATGACCTGGAGACAAAAGGCTGGTTCACATCCAGGTTTTTTTAGCCACGTTGGCTCCGTTTTTGTGACAGCCACACCGACTGACCCGACAGCCACTATAGAAAAGCCCAGTCCGAAAATGGAACATGAGCTGAACCAAAAACAGGTACGACTGCACCCATTTTCCGAGGTACGAACTGAGACGGTGAATCAGCCGAGTCGAACGGTCGGTTTCGGTTGGTTTTTCCGCCCCTCGGACGGGTCCAGAGCTGTACCGTTGTTTACTTCCTGCCCTCCGCCCTTCACGAAGAAAAATGTCCCGAAGCAAACGGCTCGAACACCAGGCTAAGCAGCTCAGGATCGGCCTGAACCAGTTTTTAAGCTGTGCATGGTCCCAGGGCCTGTGAACAATTTTCAAACAACTTCAAGGACTTCAACGTCCAAACGATTTCTAAGCCCCAATGCTCGGTTTGTGGCGCCACCACAAAAATTAGGAACAATTAATACACCCCAAAGCACAAGTCATGTAGGCCATAGGGCTGCAGTCCCATATTGGTCTTGCTTGGGAGTTCGGTTCGTTTCGGTGCGAGCCTCGCTGTGTCCACACGAAGCATAGAGCCGTTAGAACAACCCTACTACCTCACTACTACCGTAGCCTTCCAAGACATTTAAACATTTAAAACAATTTGCAGTGTAGTTTTAAAACAGAGGGGTGTTCCAGATTCAGGCTGTTTATTAAAGCAAAGCATGGTGGTTGGAATCCTATAGGGTACCTAGTCAGTGGAAAACCACGCATGGATCACCTGCAAAACCTTTCTCGGGCCGTTGAATTGCCGTCCGCTGTCCCTGGCCTTCAGTTCGACCATTAAACGAATGGATGCAGCTGGGGGTGTGGTGTAAAATAGCCTTAGAAAAACGAGGCAAACAATGGTTGGCCACATGAAAAGTAGCGGCCGGACCCGAATCCTCGGGTCCGGGGTTCCGGCTCCTCAAATCATGAAGTTTTCAGGGACCAGTCGGGCTGTTCAGCGTTTGGGTCAAACAACACTCCAGCACCAGGTTTGGACCTGGGTGAGGCTGCAAAAAGGCTCCAACCTACAGCCTCCCACCCGATCTCCGTCGTTGGAGGAGACGTCCTACGACCCGCGTACGACCCGCCAGGTGGTTCGAGTCATCGCCCCGGCGGTCTTCGACATCGGCGCCACCGGCTTGTGCTGTGCCTGCGCTGCAGAGCCGGAGAAGGTGACGCGTTTCTTTGCGGCGCAGAAGGGCGCTGACGCCAGCGGAGAAGGTGACGCCTGCGGTGTTTGGTACCGACCGTGGCCCTTTTCATCAAAGCGGATTGGTTCGGGTCCGGACCTCTCCGGACCTTTGAGGGTCCCCTACTTTGGAGGGTCCATTGATTGTGAATTACTCCGCGCCGGCGAAGAGAAGACGTCCGTGGGAGGACGAGAAGATGGGGAGAGTGAAAAGCTGAGAACATGAATTTCTAGGGGCAGGCACCAGTCTTTAGACATGTATTTTGTTTGCCCAGTGCAATGGTGACATGGACAACATTGGAACACAATGTTTGGATTTACTTTGAGCAGATGACACAAGTCAGGCAGATGGCGCTGTCCGAAAGACTCCTGACACATGGCCTAGGGCCTGGGGCCTGTGGGATGACAAACAATGGAAGGCTCATGGCCCCCTGGGATAAACAGTTTCTTTTTGCAAACCAGGTGGTGCCATCCACTTCCATGTGAATGACTCGGAGAATATATCAAACACACCGACCTGGTCGTCCTTGTTGCCATTTGGATCGTTGGGATCGTTCGACAGAATGCAAATCCTATAGTCAGAGTGGATTCCAGGTGTTTCCGCGTGTGTTTCCCAGTGGGTTCTTCAGCAATATGATACAACGTTGCAATGTTCACTTCCAGCGAACGTGATGGTTTTCGCGTGTGGTGTTTACAAGTTTTCTTCGCTTGTTACGGCGTACGGCGGCCGGCGTGAACTCTCCGCCGAAAACTGAGGCATTGGATTCCTTTACATCCCGGCCAGTGTGTGGAGCTTCGGATGCAAGGCCAATCGTTCGTTGACGAAGTAGCCGGCAGGGTGCCTGCCATACGCTGGCAGCCAGCAGGTTGGGGTGGTGGGGGTGGTTTGGACACGGTGATGCCTGTAGCCTTTCAAAAGTCCAGTACCACGATCCTTGCGACTGAGACTCGGCTCGACTGGACGTTTTCAGGGCAGTTGGTGCCCAAAAGCTCGCAGTACTTGCCATTAAACGGTCCTCTTCTTAGGAATTGTCCTATTTTAGGGGTCCTATCAGTGCAGGGGGGTTGTGTTTGTGGGGTGTGTTTTGGAACGTTCATGAAGTGGGTGACGGTTCTACATCCGCCCGGGCCCCTGTGTGCGAGGATCGCCAACCCTGACATCTTCCAAGAATCACGGAGCTTTGCTGGTGGTTGCAAATGGTCATGTCCAAACACTCCAAACAGCCCGAGCGGTTCCTCAGAATCATAGGGACTTGAGGTTCTTCCAGACCCCTCCAGAGGAAAACTGGGCCCAACTCAAGAGCTGTATATTCCTAGGGCTCCAAGTACCTCCTTAGAAGGTATTTGGACTCTCTAAATCCACCCCAAACACATTCTTATAAGGTACTTGGAGCCCTAGGGTATATAACCCAGGTCTCATACCCAGGCCCGAAGTCTGGACCCTCCATTCAGGACCAGGCCGGATCCGGTCTTAGGGTTCTCACCCATACGAAAGACCAGCGACAAGTGGTCAGGCCGTTTTCTCATGGAGCGTTTGGCCTAGGAATGGAGCGTTTCGCCCTTCACATGGATTGCATGATTGGAATCCCGAAGAACCATTGTTTTTGGTTTGCCCAAAGGATCCGATTTTGGACCTTCCGTTCGCGGTCCGGGTTTGACTCTCACAACTAGGGCCGGGTGAAATGGCGCCGAGAACCCACATGTATAGCAGTTGCGAAACGGATCCGAGGAGCTCGGGTCACCTCTGTGGCATATTTGAGACTCCCACGCCTGGTCCAACAGAGGTTGAAGAACCCCATTACTCTAGACTATCCCATAGAGGGTACCCTGGTACCAGGGTCCTAGTTCAGGTCACCAAAACATCGCCTCCTGCTGCAAACGCAGCGTGAACTCAGCCTCCGAATTCGCCGGTCTCAGTCCAGGTCAAGGGTCTCGGTCCTCAGGTTTGGTAGCACCCGACGTGACTTGGCACCCGACTACATGAGGATGTCTCCCTGCTCACCGATGTCTGAGGTTCGGTACGAAAACGGATCCGATCCCGCCCGAGAAGGGTCTTAGGGCGGGGTGGTTGAGCTGACGGATCCACATAGAAGCTGGAGCTGGAGCTGGAGCTGACGGATCCAAACCCATGGTTCTTCGGTAATTCAAACCGTGAAATCACTGGTGGGAATTCAAGGGTGGCTGCTGGCTCCTTGTGCTTTGCTCCTCTCTGAGTGCTTGGAAAACCTCACTCTAGGGATCCACATACCTTCATACCATCGGTTCGGTAGGACTGGACTCTTCCGGCGCCTACCCTCAGTTCGTACCTCGGATCATGGGTACATATATGGGTACAAGTACCTGTGTATTCAAATGAGGTCAGCTCCCCATGTTCATAGAGGACTGGGTCAGTCGAGTCCAGATACAAAGTGTCTCGCTGCAGAGGTTCTGTGGATCCAAGGGTCACTCGGCTCTCGGTTTGGCGCGCGCGGGTCAAACCGCGTCCAACGCACTGGTGCTGAGGCAGCTGTTGCGAGGTGCAGAGATCGTCTTCGTGCGAAGCCTCAGCAGGGCTCGCTGCTGGAGGAACCCGCGACATGATTGACACAGGGAAAAAACACAAGTCGAACAAAAAGCACTAGAGCCGTTTGTTCGACATTGTTCGACCATTCAAAGGGTTTGGTTGACCTGGCTTTATCTCAAATATAAGGACCATGAGATGATATCAACTATGAACAGATGAACTTTGATACAAGCTTTATATATCCATCCGCGACCCCAACGTGGAAAGTATGCCAAGTGCCGACAAAGAGCGGCTCTCCAACCTACCCACAAAACCTGCAAAGATACATTTTCTGAAGGCTTCAGACAGGACCCTCAGTTCGTGGTCCGGGTTGTGACGCTTACAACATCTTACAACTATAGGTTTTGGACCAAACAATATATGTAGCGGTTGCTTTGGTTCCATCGGTGTCATTATATCATTAGATCTTTACAAGGTCGGACGGTTATGAACAGTTCGGTGTGGACCGGATGAGGGACTCACGGCCCCATATCGCTGTTTCGTTGCATGGAGTGGGTTTTGTGTTTGATGCATGTTTGGTTTGAAAGTGTCTTTTTTTTGGTGTCCCGGCTGGGTCAATGCACCCCCCTAATAAGGGTTCGATGTTTGGTTCAAAAAGTACAACACATCTAGTCTGGCATGTGCTGGCAGACACGGACGGAGCATCTGGAGACTGCTTTGGACGGATGTGAAGCTTAAAGTGAATGGAGGGCAGCCAGACACTAGGGCACCGTTTGTCGCTACCCCTTCGGCTATGAAAGTTTAGGGGGGGGGTACGTCAAAGAATTTCTGAAATATATATGTCACTTCACGTTTAGAGCAGTCTGGCCATTTGCCATCATATTCAACGTCTATAGCTCAGCACTACCAATTTAGAGGAGGACTGCAGCTGTTCGCATCATGTATGAAGCTTCCATATCCCTACCACCTTACAACAAAAATTGATAAAAATTGAGGTGTACGTACCGTCAGCTTTTTGAAAACAATTTTGACTCTGAAATCACAAATGATTATGTCATTCCTTAGGTCCAGGGAAGATGTACTTGGCCCGCCCAGTACACGCCCAGTGTTCTCTGCCAGGCCTCAACCACGACCAGCCATGCCCAGTGTTCCCTGCCGGACCTCAGCCACGACCATCCACGCCCAGTGTTCCCTGCCAGACCTCAACCACGACCATCCACGCCCAGTGTTCCCTGCCGGACCTCAACACACAATTACAAACAGAACAACAAACACACAACCAAAAAGGCACAACCACAAACACACAATCACAAATACACAACTACAAACACAACCACAAACACACAACCACAAACACACAATCACAAACACACAATCACAAACACACAACCACGAACACAACCACAAACACCCAACCACAAACACAATCACAAACTCACAACCACAAGCACAGCCACAAACACAATCACAAACGCAGCCACAAACACACAACCACAAACACAACCACCAACGCACAATCACAAACACACAAACGCAAACACGCAACCACAAACACAACCACAAACACCCAACCACAAACGCAATCACAACCACAACCACAAACACACAACCACAAACACACAATCACAAACATACAATCACAAACACACAACCACAAACACAACCACAAACACCCAACCACAAACACACAACCACAAACACAATCACAAACGCAGCCACAAACACACAAGCATCTGAGTTGGAATATTAGTTGGGCACAGGTCTCCTGATGAAAGCATTCGCTTCAGACAAAGCAGTAAGACTTGGCGCTGAAGGACTTGTGCTATGGGCTGAAATACACAACGAGGGTGATGTCAACGTAGCTGTTTTGAAATGTCATGGTGGGGATCACTCGAAGTAAAGTAATTTTGACAGCTTGGAATTGGAATGTTTTGATGCACAGCGCTTGGCAAGTTCAACCATTCATTTTCAATGATTTTCATTGATTACATGGAAGGCCATTTGGTGTCAGCGTAACCATGCGTAACCTGATTTGTTTGTTTTGCATTGTTTTGCGAAACTAACCAAAAACCTGCAGCGCAGGGGTGAAGTGCCACCCCATGGTCTATTCTGGCATGTTCAGCATGCCTGCAGCAGCTGTCCGCAATCTCGGGCCATCGAGCAGGTACACCCTTGTCATTGGTCTGCCACGGCACCTCCTCTCAGCAGTATCACCTTGCAGGAACTTTGACACAGTCCATGGCACAATGCGCCACAAAACACTTTTGGACAGGATGGAGGAAGCTGTGGAAAGGACTCCAGTACTCCGTGAATCAGAACCTCCATGAACTCCAGGCTATGGTGACCCATTCACGACATGGTGCTCGCCTCAGGCACCGCATCCTTTGGGAAGTCCATGCTGGACACAATCTTTTTTCAGCTGTGGCGGAGTCCCTCAACATGGAAGCCAAGGTCCTCGGCCACCAAACTGGCGGAAAAGCAACTGGTCTTCATCAAATCCAAGGCTCTTAAGATGCGAGACATGTACGAAACCGGATCCCGAATAGGAGAAGGGCCCGGATTCTTAGGGTAAATGTTACAATGCGAACCCGAGCATCACAGAACACCGGCTACGTGACATCGACGTGGAGAAGCTTCTCACCCCCGGCGCGCGCGAACCGTTGAGGCCGCCATCTTCTCGGTCTTTTGCGTCTCGGAGGCACAGAACGATTTGGTGGGGTCCAATGTATGGGACATGGAGGGTCCAGCCAGGGTCCTGGAGAGAAGACGGCAGACAGGGTGTAGTGTGGCTTTCAGGGTGGGTGACAACCACCATCACCACCACCAACAACAACCACAAGTCTCACCTCTTGGACACCTACCACCTGCCACCCCCTGCTGGCTTGCTGTTGGGCGTATAGGCTCCCATCAAAAACGGGAGACCTCCCAGTATTCTTCGAAGGGACATAGACCAGTTCGCACAATCCAACTGATTGGGGCGACGGGCCTCATTTGTTGGGGGTGTCAGTCGACGCGTTTGGATTTGTCAAGCGCATGTAGGTCTCAACAGCTGGGATTCCAAGAGCCACGTTTGGAATGGTTTTCATCAAAGCAAGGGTTTGCACATGTTGGTCTTTGAATGGTTATTGTTGAAGGGGTTCTTCGGAGGTTTGCACCATGTTCGCACCAAGGTCTCAACCGCCGCTTGTACGTCTTCCACTGGCTCGCCCTGCTCTTCTGCGTCTCCGGTATCGTCTCTGTGGGCCTGGGGCCTTGGCAGACAAGACGGGAGAGCAAGAAGCATGGCTTCGTCCACGGTGAGGCGAGGTAAAGGAACAACCCTTGAAGAAGTTCCATGCTGCAAACCCAGTCCCAACCAGAAACAGTTACGTTCCGTATGTGGCAATTGTTAGAACCTTTGGTACATGCCTTGGACCAAAAAAGGGAGTGGCAATCCATGGTCAAGCGCCTGGGACCAAAAAGGGAGTTGCAACCCAGAACTGTTTCGGTTTGGGACTCGGGAACTCTAGGCAGGTTGATCAGAGTTTCAGCTGCGCCGCGCCGAGGCCTCGCCAGTGTTTGGGGCGACGAGGAACAGGCGGAGTGTGTGGGGCCCCGACATTCAAGCGGGAAGTAACCGTAGGCTTCCAGCAACCATTGGTTTAATGGTCTTTACCAAGGAACATCAAAGAACCATTGTTACACTACAACTCACCATTTTAAACATGGTCTTGGAAGGCTAGGGGTAAGGAACTTCCTGAAAATCGGGTCATCTAAAACAGGACCCCCATAAGGGGTGTCTAAGTAGTTATTGGAGGTGAAGGGGTATCCATCAACCACCTGTTTGAAGGCCTTGGAAGACAATTGTTGCAGTAGTCTCGGACTCCCAAAAAAGAGTAAATGACTGATCTGTACCTGAAAGGACTTAAATTCCCTTACTTCAGACCAAGTCTCTACCCCCAGACCCCCCAGAGTTGAAGAACCCTTCGCTACGCATTCGGGACATAGGTCGAATTCGACATCTAACGTTTGGTCACTCAGTCGCTGCGCTGGGCAACTGCTTGGCCGGATCGTGCCCCTAAGCGTGCTCCTTCTTTGGCGTTCTTACCAAAGAACATCAAACAACCATTGCCCATTGCTTTACATTACAAAACCGGGTCAACCTTTCTTGCAATGGTCTTGGAAGGCTAGGGCTACGGTTTGCTATTGGATGGTTGCTCAGCAGAGGGGATAGGGGGATACACCCAAGTGTACGACCAATACCGTAAGGATCCACGTATGGAATAACTACCGATGCATATATATATATATTAGAATTATAGTTCTACCCTGAAGTTTGGAAGCAAGACTAGTTTTTAAATGTTGTTTATTTAATTTTGTAATGTAATTAAAATCAATATTGTAAAACCATGGTGGTTCGGTCAAAACCATTAAGTTTATACTGGTTGGACGCCTAGCATATATAATATATACACCGGTGACCTTCCAACAGGTGGTTTTTTGAACACCCCTTAACCTCTAAGTCCTGGTATATCTCTTGCAGTCCATCGACTCCTCCACTTCCGCTGAAGCGCCGCACGGGCGGAGCCAGGCCTCTGCGAAGGGCACGGCTGCTGGAGTGGGTCTTCAGGTCTTGGGCATTGGCGACTCGGTCGGCGAATTCGCCGGGACGAGGTCGGCTACGCCGAAACGGCGAGGAAGGGGGGTCACGGACGTTAGGGTTTTTGGTTGATTTTGGTTGATTTCAGGGGTCAAGATGTATATTTTTATAGATCTCAGCATGTAGCAGGGGGTCAAAGCCCGGAGCGCTGTGCACCCTGTTCCTATCACAGTAATGAGCTCAATGTGTGGTACGACGGAACAGAGAATAGAGCTCTTCCCAACTTGACGATCCAGCACGATGCTTCACACCGTTTTCGCCGGGTTGAACAGACACCTGCCTGAAAACCCCAACAATCAGGAACGCATGGATGTTTCCCTCATGCAACACCCAGGCCCAGCCCCACCTTCGAAACCGATGCGCTTGGAGCCCGGACGGCGTTCGTCCACTCCCCTTTTCTGCGTTGACCAAGGATTGGCCTTGGCGGGGCAAGTTGTCCAAGCGGCTCAGGTGATTGCGGAAGACGCCCAGACTGGAATTTGAGGAAAGGCGTCCTTGTGTATTTTGGGGGGTCTGTGCATGGGTTTGGTGTTTTGTTTTTAGCACCTTGCTGGGTGCTTTGATTGCTGGTTGGTTTGATGGGTTTGGGATATTTTTGTTTTCCAAACAGTGTGGACACACTAGGGGTTCTTACGGTAGGTGTAAAGCAGGTGTGCTTGGTTGGGTGTGCCGCGCGGGCGTGTCCGGCCTGTTCGCTGCCATTTACAGTGCCTCTCGAGATCGTCGAAATGCATTTCGACTGCGCAGGCTCGCAAAGTCTGGGTGCCCCGGGCGGGTGCTTCTAGCGACTGCACTCTCGTTGTGGCGCCGTGCGCATTTTCGCACATGGTGGTCACTTTTCGTGGCAGGCACAAGGGAAACCTCGTGTTTTGGTGCTTCAAAGTCGACTTTTCGCGACAGGTGCAAGGGATCGAAGCTGTTTTGCGTTTTCGTTTCAGCCGCAGCACTTTGGGCATGCTGGTGGTCGTCGAGGAGCTCAGATTTCGTTACAGGTGCAGTGAACTGTGACTTTTTGACATGTGGCTCGTTTGCAGATTTCGTGGCAGGCACAGCACTCTGTGACCCTCGATGTGCAGATTTCGTGGCAGGTGCAGCACACTTTGTGAACCTCGATGTGCAGATTTCGTGGCAGGCACAGCACTTGGTGAACCTCGAAGTGCTGATTTCGTGGCAGGCACAGCACTTGGTGAACCTCGAAGTGCAGATTTCGTGGCAG